TCCATTGAAAATTTTGATGGAAATACTTTTTTATCAAAAAACTTGACGAAAATATTTAGTCGAAAATTTTCGATGGAAATGTGTTTCGCTAAAAATTCCGACGAAATTTTTTTTTGTCAAAAAGTTTAACGAAAATGTTTCCGTCGAAAACTTTTGTCAAAATTTGAAATCTGTAAAGAATTTTGATGAAATTTTTTTTCGTCAAAAAATTTCGATGGAAATGTGTTTCGTCGAAATTTTTGATGAATTTATTTTTTTGTGAAATATTTTGACGAAATTTAGATTCCGTAAAAAAAGTTGACAAAATTTTTTTACAGAAATGTTTTAGTCACAAATTTTGAGGAAAATATTTTTCGTCAAAAAATTTTGCGCAAATTTTTTATGGAAATATTTTTCGTAAAAAATTTTGATGTAATTTTTTTACGTTAAAACTTTTCTTTTAATGTAATTGCGATTTTTTTTCTTTTTTTTTCACATACTGGATATGGGTCAAGTTTTGGATCAATGGGTCAAGTTTTGGTTCAATAGGTCAATATTAAAACAAGTCAGGTCTAAAACTGATCCAAATAGAAGTGGGTCAGTATTTAAACCAGTTCAAAAAAAAAATATTTATGGGTCTGGTCAGGGTCAGATCAAGGGCAGGGCAAGTGAACCAGTTTTTTTGAGTATATTCTGGTTATTTTGTATTCCATTCTTTTGGTGGATCATGATGTCTGATCTGATACTTGTATATGGCCTGTATATGTTTTGTACGTGTTTCCGTTTTGATGCATGTACAATTGTGTATTCAAGCATGTTTATATTATGATGCAATATTCAGTTATATGTTTATCTATTGGATTGTATGCTGTTAGACATAGTGGCACAGAGCCAAGTTATGTATGCGTCCATGGATGGGTATATAGTCCTATATGGATATCTGGTATTTCTGAAATCATATATGGTATAAACTGCGTATCAGGAAACCTTGAGATTGGGATTGACAAATCCTCATTTGTCCAATTTACAGAGTTTACAATGCCTGATTTTCGTCTTCGTCAAATCAGAATTAAATTAGGATTAGTATGCAATGTGAGATATCATGTGAAAAAGGATTAAAGAAAAAGAAAAAGTTAGCTCGTATTTTTGTAAGTTAAGTTTTTCGCTGTTTATATTAAGTATCATATGTATGTTAATTGAACCGGCTCAAGACGAGGATGTTACAATAAACCTCAGAACTAAGTAGTTTCTCCCTTAATTTAGTGTGTTGTGATTTTCTTTTAATAGCTTGATGTGCTAAATGTGATATGCACATCAGCTATCAGTGTATACCAAAATTAGTTCATAAACGAAGGTCTCTGGCAATTAGTTCTAGATCAGTGGGTTTATGTGAATCATCATCAAAGAACAGATTGAAGAAAAACACCAACCACTTGGATATTTGAAAAATTAATTATAGCAAGTCAAACTAGTATACTATTAAGTGAATTGGTTTAACAAATTAGTACTGAGAAACCATAAATTATAGTTAGAGCACTAATTGGAGATATCTTATTTCAGAAAAGGAAATTAACAGAACAATGACTTATGGCCATGCACCATTCGTGTTCCGTTTCAGAAAACTATTATCATGGGCATGTTTGGTGTGATGTATAAGGCCTGGTATTATAAGTTTATATTACATTATGACATTTTTAGTTGTTTAGTATGACCATCGTATAGTATAAGTTTATACAGCAGGATCCCTTTATACATCAAAATGATGAATAACTTAATCAGACCTAGGAAGGTAGAATTAGGCCTGATAAGGGGTTGATGTATTAACCAATGTAATTATCAGGAATTAATATATTATTTTAATATTAGTATATTAAAATAAAAAATAAATTTTCAATATATAATTTTTAAAAATATTAGAGATTTTTATTTTTATAAAAATTAATATATTTTTTGGACACACTGATCAACATATTTCTATAAAAAATAATATCATCTGATATATTTGGAAGAATTATGTAAATTCATTATTTTTGACAAAAATATTTATTTTTAACCTGTCTAGTATTATACAGTATATTACCAAATATTGGATGATATTATCTCATACAATATATTATCTTATACAATATCATGTCAAACGTTGGATAGTATTAAAATTTAATCAGGTCTTATACAATCATACCTTATACTATCAGGGCTTATACTATCAGACCTTATCATATACTATGTACCAAACATACCCTATACTAGCATAAACAACCAAGGAACTTTGCAGACAATAATATTCACAAAAATACAAAATCAAAATCATTACCTGAAGAACTCCATTTAAACCAAAGAATGATAGAACTCAAACTCTGAAATTAAGAGCTTGGATTCTATAACTTCATCCGAAATTGTAAGTGCTGAACCTTACTGGATGACCTAGACAAGTCATACATCATTGGTTAAATGTGGCCTGGATAAGATTCCTGCTTAATATGAAATTATTTATGATGAACCATATGCAAGAAAAAAAAGGCAAACTCGAGTAAACAAAGCTCCCTATCTTTGCGAGAAAAGAGGTGATGATCGATTGTACACAATCTTACCTTTATATTTTTACAAAAACAAACTCAAAAGTATGGCCTTCCAGTAACAACGGAACAACCTTACCACTGCTGAAAGACTCGCCCTCTTATAAGGAACCTTTGCAGATGCCACAAAAAATTGCCATCAAGTCAGATAGGGCAGAGTGTTCTAAAGAGAAATAGCATGGAATCTACCATTCATAAAGGCAATAAAGTGCTAGTAAAAAGAGATGACTATGCTGTACATGTGCATTGCAGCCTAAAGAGACTATTTTAAAGTTGCAATAATCATGCAAAATTTCTTATCCCCCATGTTTGTGATGTTAAATAGAAACAGCACGTAGAAAGGAACGTGATGAGGTCACCATTTATTCACCTCATCTATCATCATGCTTGACTCACTTTGCAACTGACCAAGGTTTGGTGATCATCAATACCAATGTGGAATCTAGTTCTTTTTTTTCAGCCAAATTGACTATCTTTCTGCAATCAGCATCGAGTAAAGGAGAATTGATATTATCTTGGTATTTAAACTCAACTGTATTTAGATGTTCAAGCTTCAGTCACAGCATCATAGGCTTGTACAGCACCCTAGCACGTTTTCCTAAGTTTTGGTAATTTTTGTTACTCAGAAAACACACATTATGTGTTATAGAATTTCAAAGTAACTAAAAATGCCAGTTTGAACTATCCCATTGAAGTAACACATTTCTTAACATCTGACATCTACTTCATGATATTGGTTATATATGTATTCTAAGGCTAACAATCAGAATTCCACCCAGCCTAACCTAGAGATGATATCCTGACCCTAATTAAGGTCTTATTTAAATTAAGCTCTGAGTTCAAATTATTTTTGCTCTACAAATTTAATATTTTAAGTCCCATACAGGTCATAACTTTAATGCGTGACTATAGAAAAGCACAACTATCTGGTTATACTCAGAAAGAAAGAAAAGAAACAAAGTTTTGACCTGAATGAACTCGATATGGTTGGATGATTTACCTGACAAGAAAACCAGATGATTTATTTGACATTAAATCCAAAAAGTTATATGAAAGATGGCTTAAATTACTACTAGGGCTATATAAAGCAAATTTTATTGAACTGAAACTATAATTGATCCAAATTTCTCTTCTGATCTTTCTACTAACGTACATTTAAATGAAACTTCTTTAAAAAAATAAAAATAAACATTACCTCTGTATTAAATCTCTGTACAGAAAGGTTAGTATCTGCTTTGCCATTTGTAAAATACCATTGCAACATTAGGTCAATTCTTAAATTTTATCCACTATTGCAGCCACTCCCATTGACCAAATCTTAGGAATTGAAGCCACAAGACTCATTATTTGACAAAATTTATAGTTTTCTGTGAATGTTAAAAGAAATATATCGGGCACTTTTGGCTTTCCTTGTGCCAAGTGCCAACCTTCGAAGATATGAACTAATAGTAGGTAAGTGACTCATCCAACAAGACGAGGGGAAGACTAAGACCTAAAACATTCTACTCTTTAGTTTTAAAAGTAGCAGTTGTCTTCAAACCTTCAAAATAGGAAATATCAGTTATTGCCTCCTTCCTGAAAGAAGACTTCAAAAGGCTTATTTATTGTAACCATCAATAGTGCCATACATGAACTTTAACCTTTATTGAATATGCTTGTAAGAACATCCTAAGACAATTTTTATATGAAAGGACTTCTGACTGCACAGCACCTTCCTTACTAACAAATTCAATTTTGGGTAGAAGGCATCGCAATACTTCAAAAGAATAAACACTACAGAAATAGCTTAACATCATATTCTAACACTAACAATTTGGTACCAGATATGTGAACTTAATCTAGGAAGATCTCTCAATTTCAATTAGAATAAGGCATATGATTACATGAAAGTGTCAACTTAACAAATTGGGGAACTGATGGGGGGAATATAATAAGAGAAGCCAAATGAAGATGCTATGAATCTGATAGGAACCCAAGACACAAATGCACAAAAATAGAACATGAAATATGGAAATCTATATTAAGCTCTCTGGTATGAAAGCAATATCAGAGGCTTGCAGAAATTGAAACGATATCTGGCTTTCGAGTGGGTAGTTCTCTCTAACTCCCCCCCCCCCCCCCCCCCCCCCCCCCCCCCCCCCCCCACCTATTCTCTCTATTCTTCTCCTATTTATCCTACACCTTCCTTCTCAGTGGTTACAACCGTTTTCCCCTCCATGTGAGGAGTCACACTCCCCACGCTTTGAGTGGAAATGTATTACTTACACCCCTTCCTTGACAGGAGGTTTGGGTTCCCAACAGAATCCTAATACAAACAGACTAAGAAAAATAATCATGTTTTTGTGCAACATCAACTACCGCATGTCATTTATTAATAATCTCATATGGTACAGTAGTTAGAGATGATAATTGGTTAAAGAACCAGTTTTAAGTAGAAATGTAGCTTCACAACTTCTCAGTCAACCTGACCATGAAGGAATTCACCACGGAAGAATCCAGAACAATCCAAGATGATTCAAACAGCTCATGGAAGAACTCTGTTCCAATCTCCTCAGCCGCATTTCTAAACGCAATCCCAAATGCATTTCCCTGAGCCCCAGCCAAACGGGGCTTCCCGCAAACGCCTACAATCAACACTTTATTAGGTTCTTGAGACAAGCAAGCACAAAGAAGAGGCTTCATCCTTGCCCCCTTCTCTCTCAAAGCATCCATGAGAAAATAACAGAATTTAGTCAAGGCCTGCGGGTAACCCAGCAACTTAGTGTCAACTGAATCTTCGAGTTTCATCCACCGGAACTTCCTTCCACTTCTTATACATCCACTCTTGGTAATTGCTGTCCCCCCTTGCCTAAGAATGGCCCTCTGAATCTTGATAGCATGCTGCATCCCAGCTTTCAGCTTATCGAGATTGCTCAATGACAATGCATCATAAGCCACCCCAAATTGCTTGGAAGCACAAGAACCATCAGATTTCACAAATGATTCGAGCAAAGCAGTGACCCCATACACCACATCCGCAGCAGACACCCTTGAACTATACCCATGTATCCTCACGAAACTCCTATAGTACAAATCAGTAAGCCCATACTCCGGCAAGAACCTCTCAAACTCGGCTTTCATCTTGTGCTTCACCTCCAAATTCATGTACTGAAATTTCTGCTGGCAATCCACGAGTGCAAACCCCATTGTGGCCAATAGAAGCTTCAGTTTCTTCACCCCATTGTCACTCCAAGTCTTTAACTTGGTCGCAGTGTACGAAGAACACATCATTGAATCAAACAAATTCCACTCCTGCAACAGCATGAGCCTAGGCTCATCCTCATAAACAATCCGGGACGAATTTGGTGCTCGAATTCTAGTCCCATCCTTGAGTGTAACCGAAGTAACCGCATCCAAATTCCCGGAACTGCTGTTTATGTGCTGCTCAAGCTCCATGACACCAACATGGTACCTCTCATCACTCAACCTCTCATGCACAAATTGATCCGTCAAGGCCACACAAGCAAGCCAGAGCAACTCATTAGTGTTCTTCCTAAGAAAATGAGCTAGGTCATACATCAAACACCCTGAGGGCTTCCCATGGAAAGTTCCCAATCTATAATATTCCTTCTTCAGCTTCTTGTACAGTTTAACCGGGTCCTCCTCTGAAACCGTATCCCTCTTCTTCGATCCAATTCTATCGCCCTCTTCATCGCCTTCGCTGTCGTCTTCTTCTTCTTCGGATTCAAGTTCTTCATCGTCGTCGTCACTGTTTATCTCAGCGGCGGCATTGGCCAACGCGGTGAGGTCAAAATCGTAGGCAAGATCGGCTTGCTGTTCATCGTCCTTGGTGAAGAGGACAACGACGCTGTCGTTTTGGTCACTGAGGTTGTGGAGGTGAATTGGGCGGTGGCTGTCAACCACAAAGACGCGAGTATTGGGGCCAAGGTTTAGGGTTTTGCGGAGGTCCCTGTGGCAGCCCCAATTGATCAAAACGATGGAGATAGGGTTGTCGTTTGTGGTGGGACTCGTATACTTGTGGATCTCGTGGAACGACGACACTGGATAACACGCGTATTGAATGGAATCTGACTCGAGAATGTGGAAGATGATTTTGAGAGTGCAAAGGGAGTCAACATCTGAAGTCGAAGGGAAGATGAGTAAAGGAGAGGATGAAGAAGAAATTGCCGATTGGCGAAGTTTTGAGTAGAAAGAATCTACCCTGTGCTCTCTCACCATGATAACAACAATTTTGATTATAATTGAACACTGCACAGAGAAGAATAAGAAGAAATTGGGACTTTTTTTCTAAGTGAAGGGAATTGCATTAGGTTTGGATGGGTCATCAAGAGAAGAAATTTTTCGGTTGGAGTGGGGGAGTGTATATGATTGTAAAGAAAGAGATTCAGATCTTCAAGTTTAAGATTCAAACTTTTCTTTATAATGAAAATTTGAACTTTCTTGAAACGCGCGCAAAAATTTGGCGGTTTTGTTATTATTTGGGACAAGGGGAATCCGTCGTTCATAAATGAGCGGGACAAGTTAAGCTTTAACTTGAATAAGTTTATATAAAATATATTAAGTCTTGCGTGATTTAATAGTCCCTCGTAAGTTAATTTGTTCCATCTTATTTTCAAAAAATATAAGATTTTTTTTTATTTGACATGGTCTGTCAAGCCTACTGAATATTCAAAAAAAGTATCTTATACTTTATAAATTATAGGTTATGATTATTTTGTATCATAGTTAAACTCATAACTCACAATATTGACAATTTAATTATATTGTTGGAAACAAAAAATAATTAATTGAATCAAATTGTAATAATTTTTTATTATAAAATAAAGTTTTAATTTAATTTAAATTAAATTAAAAATTTATACTTACACTTGCGTGCACTCTCCCACACACACACTAACTATATATATGCATATATAGACTATATATATGTATGGGCAAAAGTATTTCTACAGCAACTTTAGATAAGCTTATCTACAGTTGCCATTTTTAACTATATTCTCCCGGGAGAATATAGTTATAACGTTAAAGTTGCTCTTTTTTCTCTTTCCTAATTTACTTTTCAGAACTTTTTTGTTGACGTGGAGAGAGAGAAAAGAGCAACTTTAACGTTATAACTATATTCTCCCGAGAGAATATAGTTAAAAATGGCAGTTGTAGATAAGCTTATCTAAAGTTGCTGTAGAAATGTTTACCTCATATATATGTATATATAGAGCTTATCGTTTCTCAAGTTGCTTGAGATAAATTTATCTACAGCTACTAAATTATAATCTTACAAAGATGGATAATGGTGATAAATGAAGAGAGAGAAAAAAGAAATTATAATCATTCAAAAGTGAATCAATTAATATAAGGAAATAAATAAACAAAACGACGTAGTTATTGGGTAGACGGAGATAAATATATCTCAAGCTGTTTGAGAAATATTTTTCTTATATATATATATATATATGAGGAGGGATCATTTGACTCCAGAGTAAGATTTAAAAGTCTTACTCTTCATCCCAGCCCTTGATTTCCGTTCATCCAACGGTTATTATTTATTTGAAATTAATAATTAATTAATGCATTAAATTACTAAATGATAACCGTTGGATGAACGGAAATCAAGGGCTGGGATGAAGAGTAAGACTTTTAAATCTTACTCTGGAGTCAAATGATCCCTCCCCTATATATATATATATATATATATATATATATATATATATATATATATATATATATATATATATATATGGCAGGGTCATCTTCCACCGGTGCAAGATAAATAATTCTTACACCAAATCTTAACCGTTGATTTTCTTGTATCTAATGGTTAAGATTTATTGGGTCCCACTCATTAATTAATTATTATTCCCAAAAAAATCTCAACCTTTAGATGCACGAAAATTAACGGTTAAGATTTGGTGTAAAACTTATTATTTTTACACTGGTATAAGTGTTGGACAAATAGCCTCAAACTCACGAGGGGGTGAATTGATTTTTAAAAATATTTTCGCAAAATGCCTCACTTTCTTTTTTGAAAACGAATTTCTTGAGTTTATATGATTTGACACAAGAAAAGTCTAAAGAATAGAAATTAATATAAGCAAATAATATGCAAAGTACGAATTTAAATATGCTGAAGTATTCTAACAATGCTTATGTAAAGAGATAAGGAGTTAGAGAGATTGCAAACAAGATATATCCTGGTTCGGTCACCACCACTGTGACCTATGTCCAGATTGAAGCCGCTCGATTAACTTTCCACTAATGGTCAAGCGTCAAGGGTGCTTGACAAACCACTACAACCTTCAAGAAATTTGATTCTTGAAACCCTTACACTTCCACTCAATTTCTTAGGCTATGAGCAACCTTTCCATTAGGGTCTCACTACCCTCAACTCAAATAAACAGAAAGAGAGTGTTTAGAAATAGATTTGTACTCTTAAAGTACAAATTATACAAGTTGGAGCTTATTGGTATTGATCAATGAAACAAGAATGAAGCTCAAAGGAGTTTTATAATCGATATAAGGAAGAACAAGTAATGAATGTGTTTGATTCAATGAGAATAATCAAGAATGATTGTAAAATCATTGAATGTGTTTTATTTTTACACTGGTGTAAGTGTTGGACAAGTGGCCTCAAACTCAAGAGGGGGGTGAATTGAGTTTTAAAAATATTTTCGCAAAATGCCTCACTTTTTTTTTTTAAAACGAATTTCTTGAGTTTATATGATTTGACACAAGTAAAGTCTAAAGAATAGAAATTAATACAAGCAAATAATATGCAAAGTACGAATTTAAAAGTATTCTAACAATGTTTATGTAAAGAGATAAGGAGTTAGAGAGATTGCAAACAAGATATATCATGGTTCGGTCACCACCACCGTGACCTACGTCCAGATTGAAGCCGCTCGATCAACTTTCCACTAATGGTCAAGCGTCAAGGGTTCTTGACAAACCACTACAACCTTCAAGAAATTTGATTCTTGAAACCCTTACACTTCCACTCAATTTCTTAGGCTATGAGCAACCTCTCCATTAGGGTCTCACTACCCTTAACTCAAATAAACAGAAGGAGAGTGTTTAGAAATAGATTTGTTCTCTTAAAGTACAAATTATACAAGTTGAAGCTTATTGGTATAGATCAATGAAACAAGAAATGAAGCTCAAAGGAGTTTTATTATTGATATAAGTAAGAACAAGTAATGAATGTGTTTGATTCAATGAGAATAATCAAGAATGATTGTAAAATCAATGAAACAGCAATTCTTGTACTTCTGAATCACAATAAATGTGTTTATATACGTGTTGCTACGAAACTAGCCGTTTGAATGCTTACTGCCAGTGAGGATTTGAATACTTTTCGTGAAGTATTCGAATACTACATCAAGTATCTGAATACTTTTCATAAGGTATTCGAATATATTGTTCTCAACACAAGTATTCAAATACTAGTCAAGAAAGTATTCGAATACTTTCTTGACAGAACTTAAGTATTGCAGTTTTTTAGTTGCAAAGCATTCCAATCTTGTCTCTAATCACTTTTAGTGCAATTCCTTGACTTGATAAAACTGTTTTGAGGTTACGAAATGTTTCAAGGGTCTTTTTCACGAGTTATTCAAAAACTTTCAAGTGATTAGTGCCATGGATAATGCATGTACATAATTAAGTATCCTTTGAGCTCATTTATGCACCATTAATCAATTACCTTTACTTTTGGATCTAAGCCCCAAGGATATACTACTATCTTGATCTTTGATCTTGATCATGTGTGTCTTGATCATGTGTGTTGATGGTTTTGCTTCTATTATCTTGTTGAATTTCTTCCTTGGACTTTTTGATTGTTGTGAGTTGTATTATCCTTGAAGTCGCTTCCAAGATTGTTTGTTATTATCAAAACCCTTGCACTCTTCATTTTGAGTGCATTGGTTTCATAATAAGTTGATCTTATCCTGATATATATATATATATATATATATATATATATATATATATATATATATGAGTTCATTTTTTTTAAGTTACTTTAGACAATTTTGTCTAATATTCACTGAAACGACGTCATTTTGATGCGGAAATCATGGTGTATTTGTAGTTTTAATTTATTTCAGTGTTATAGTAGTCTTTATTATTCTAATTTTTTTATTTTTCAATCCCACAACGACGTCGTTTCAATGAACGTTAGACAAAATTATCTAAAGTAACGTTAGATAATTTTATGAAAAAAATGTTTGTCATTTTACATAATATAACTTTGTGTCATTTTTAATGAAATTACGTCATTTTGGTGTGTTTTGTTATTTTTTATAAAATTAGGAAGAAAAAGAAAGTGGAGGAAAGAAACTGTGAAAACACACCAAAACGACGTAGTTTCATTAAAAATGACTTAATGTTGTGTCATTTAAAATGACAAACAGTTTTCATATATATATATATATATATATATATATATATATATATATATATATATGGGTCAGGATCATTTTACACAAGTGTAAGTTACACTCTCATTCTTATCCATTAATTCCATTTATATCTAACAGCTTAAATTTTTTTATAATGTGAGCCATTGGATACAAGTGAATCAAAAATCAAGGATTGAGTGTAAGACTTCTAACTATTACACTGGTGTAAGAATATCTTGCTCCTATATATATATATATATATATATGTGGGGTAAATATTCCTACAGCCACTTTAGATAAGGTTATCTACAGCTACCCCAAAAACTACGTCGTTTTGATTAATGAAGGATATTTATGTAATTTTAGGTGAATTAGTGAAGGGTGTTTCTGTAATTTAAAACACACTTCATTAATTCACCTAAAATTACAGAAACACCCTTCATTAATTAAAAAGACATAGTTCTTGAGGTAGCTGTAGATAAACTTATCTAAAGTAGCTATAGAAATATTTTTTCCTATATATATATATATATGAGTGTGTGCATCGAAGTGAATATATAATTTTTTGATTTAATTTTATATTTAAATTATTTTATATATAACTTTTACATTCAATATAAAATTAAATTAAAAATTTATATACACATTTACATGCACACACTTAAATAAATATATATAATAATTTAGTAAAGAAATTTTCATAATACCTATATTCATTTAACTTTTTTATTTAACTAAAAAATCAAATTGCATTTTTATTCTTACATTAAATATATATATATATATATATATATTATACAATTGACAGTTAATTTATTTTGATATTTA